TAACTGGCTACAAATCCCCACTCCGTGCTCTGACACATACTATCTTTTGTTTCATTATCCATGCATTCATGCAACCAATTTATTGAGCACTTATTACATGCAAGAGAGGCAGTGTGGCACAGTAGTTAGAGTGCTGAGCTCAGAGCTAGGAAGACATGAGCTCAAGTCTTGCCTTAGTCGAATACTGGCTGTGTGACTGTTGGGAAATCACTCATGCTCCCAGTGCCTAGACATTGCAAAGACATTGCCAACCTGCATTGAGTTTCCTCCCCAGAAGGTCCTCATGCCAATGAAATCACAGGTCCACTTTCTATCTCTATTATAGGCAAGACATTGATCTAGATGCTGTGAAGAATGCAAAAATGTATATGGTCCCTGCCCTCTGTGAACTTATAATCTATAAAGGGCAGCTAGGTGGGTACAGTTGGATGGTGTCAGACTTGGGAGTCAAAGAGACTTGAATTTAAATCCTACCTCAGATACTTACTAGCTGTGTGACCCTGGGCAAATCACTTAATCTCTGTCTGCCTCAGTTTTTTGAACTGTAAAAGGGGTGTGTGTGTGATAATAGTGCCAAACTCCCAGGGTTATTGTGAGTACAAACAAGGTAACATTATACCTTTGTAAATCTTTTTTTTTTCCTTTTTAGGCAATTGGGGTTAAGTGACTTGCCCAGGGTCACACAGCTAGTAAGTGACAAGTGTTTGGTCTGAGGCCAGATTTGAACTCAGGTCCTCCTGACTTTAAGGCCGGTGCTCTATCCACTGCACCACCTAGCTGCCCATACCCTTGTAAATCTTAAAGCATTATATAAATGCTAGGTAGCTATTAAATAATAACCACAAAATCTTCTAGATTAATGACCAAGATGTTATTCTATGGGACCTAGTATGTTTCTTCATGTCTACTCTGCTTCTGCTGCTGCCACAGCTTTTGAATCTCTCAATTATGGATACCATAAAGAAGAAAGAGAAAGAGAAAGGAATGAGCATTTATATAGTGCTTACTATGGAGAAGGTTCTGTGCCAAATGCTTTACAAATATCTCACTTGATCCTCACAACAACTCTTAGTTGTGAGATAAGTGCTATTGTTATCATCCTTATTTTACAGATGAGGGAACTGAGGCAGAGGTTGAGTGACTTGCCCAAGGTCATGCAGCTAGTAAATGTCTGAGGCTGGATTTGAACTCAGGTCTCCCCAACTCCAGGCAGAGTACTCTACTGTGTTGCCTAGTTGTCTCTAAAGACATATATAGAAAATAGAAGAGGTAGACAAAGAACTGGAACCTGGGGGCCTCCCACCTCATCAGAACCCAGACATTTATATCTAAGTTTTTGGTTGGTACTGAATAGATCTAACAAAAACATTTCTGTTATCCTGTCCTAAGCTATGGTGAACTTTAGAGTATTTATAAATATACTTTAATGTCAGATTTTTCTTTCCTTTGAAGAGGAAATGTAATCTTACTTCAAATACAAATATCTACCTAAGGGAAAGCAGTCTTTCTGAAACATGGGAGAGGGGGAGTGGGGTTAAGTTGATTAGGCTGAGAATGAAATACAATCTGTATTTTAAGTAAGCAATTAAACGATATTCAGTTGAGCTGATCTTCCACCCTGAATTCCCACAAACCGAACAAAAGCCTTTGGCAGAAAGAAACTTTAGTAGAAAAAGCAGCTTAGGAGAGGGAATGCTTTTAGTTGTAAACTTCTGGAAAATATGGATAAAAACAGGTTTTCTATTACTGTTCTCCCACCAGCTGTTGTGGCCCATGCCTGTAATCCCTGTTACCAGGGAGGCTAAGGCTGCTGGATGGCTGGGGCTCAGGAGTTATAAATGGCTAAAGGGCTCAAGCTGATAGGGTGCATGCACTAAGTTTGTCATGAGTATGGCGAGCCCCCAGGAAGGGAAGTGGGGCACCAAGTGGCCAAAAGAGGGCCAAACTGGCCCAGCTTAAAAAACTGAGCTGGGCAGGGGCAGCTAGGTGGTGCAGTGGATAGAGCACCGGTGCTGAAGTCAGGAGGACTTGAGTTCAAATGTGACCTCAGACCAAACACATGACACTTACTAGCTGTGTGACTCTAGGCAGTCCCTTAACTCCAATTGCCTAAAAATAAAAACAAACAAACAAAAAACTGAGCTGGATAAGGCTTCCATGCCCATCAGCAGTAGGGTTGACTCCTGTGTACCTTGCATTTCCAGGGTGGGAGACACAGTCTTTAAAAGCAAATGAGCAGCCTCAGACACTTGACACTTACCAGCTGTGTGACCCTGGGCAAGCGCCTTAACCCTGATTGCCTCACCAAAAAAAAAAAAAAAAAAAAAGGAAATGAGCAAATAAATTCGAATAAAATGAATACATAAAAGAATAAATAGATTCTCCCTTCACTACATTCATCCCTACCCATGAATACCTTAATGCCAACCATACAATGTGCTATCCACTTTTGAAGATTCCTTTAAGGAGCCGAGAGGCTTATATTCTGTGATAAAGCAAAGGATTCTTTTTCTCCCACAATCCACCAATGTTACCTTGTCAAACTAAGTATTAAGCATGAGTTATGATTCCTACATAGTTATTTTAAAAGGGTCAGTTACTCCTTTTTGTCCACATTGATTTTCTCTCCTCCAAGCAAAGTTCCCTTTGATGTCATGGATTACTGAGCCCAGAGGACAGCTTCATTTCTCTCTCATGTTCTTCACACTTTGATGCCAAAGCCTCAAAAGTCTCCACTCCGACAAATTTGAGGGACTAGGTTTTTGTGTGGCTCCTCTTTGAAACACATCTTTCATAGGTCATTCTGAACCAAACACAGGCCAAGCTTTCATACTGTGCCTCTTCACTGGTTATTGTGGAGATCAAAGAAGGGAAAAAAAGATTCTCAATTTCTGGATTGTGTCATTTGCAACAGTCATTCTAGCAAGCATGTGATTCTTTCTGGTGTTTCTACATTACAAAATGCTAGCATTCATGAGTTTTGATTCAATGCCTCTGTCATGCCAAATGGTGCAGATAAAGGCACACAAAGAGTATGGGTAGCCTGAGACCAGGTGTGCTAACCCATGTACCCCATGGGCGCAGACCCTATTTTTTACAGAGAAGTCTGGATTATTTGCAAATACATAAGAAAAAATTCTTCATATTATAAAAATGATTATAGAAGCAGCATGGCAGAGTTGACAGAGATCTGGCCTCAAAATCAGGAAGATTTGGGTTCAAGTTTTGCCAATGATACATAATGACTGTGGGCAGGTCACTTACCCTCTCACTGCCCCAGGCAAAGCTCTAAAATTACAAATTGCAGAGCAGGTGCATTGGTAGCAGGACATTCTTCATTTAGACTTTCCTTATACCAACCAAATCTCAGGTCTAATCTCTATCCCTATCCAAAAATGATTAGAGATCAAAAATTAGATTTGTAATGTTTTGTTGTTGTTGAATATGAAAGAATAAATGATTGGCTGAAAAAGCACATATTAAGCACTTACTTTGTGACTGTCATGTTACTATGGCACCATGTATCCAGCACAATTCCTGAACATGATTCAGCAAGCATTGGTAATCAGGCTGAATAATTCCGATCTCTAGGTGGCCCTATTTTTGGCTTGAATTATGTAGCCTGACTGCCTGTTCTAAGCAATTAACCACATCATTGCCAAAATGTAATTTCCTTTCATTCTGTGGGAACATAGTCCATGTTTAAAGCCAAGTGCAACAGAAATGATGTAGTTTTACCTAAATAGGATCATGCCAACCTTTTGTGACTTCAGCAATAAGGACGCCTAATAGCATTTTCCCCAATTGCAAAGAGCTTCCTCTTTCTCCATAGCTGTCACATGGGAACTCCAAAGCTGACCACAGAGGCAAACTATGGAACCACAGCAAGGTACTTTGATCCCTTTGGGCCTCAGTTTCCCTATCCATAAAACAAAAGAGTTATACTAGTTGGTCCTTAAATGCCCTTCTAACACTACGACTTATAAGACACTTTCCAGAGAGGTTCCTACCTTTTGGAATTAATTTGCTTTTGGTTCAAAAATGTCTTGAATTTGGAAAGCCCGCATATTTACACAGATTCCAGACACATGTGGGATGGATTTAGGTTGTGAATTTTGAATTTTCAAGCACAATTAATTGTCACTAAAGGGCTAAAAGGATCTAGGAAACCCACTGGTGGCATGGGGGTCAGGGGAGGGGGACTCTGGGTTTGTACACAAGCTTTGCTATTATAGAGAGGCATATAGTCAACTGAGTAGATTTCATTAAACTTCATTTCTCTCCCCTTTCCAAGGTTAACCAATGAAATCAGGTCCATAAACTTCTCAGAAATAATTTACTCTTTAAATAAGCTTATAAAAGAAATATTTTTTTCCCTAATAAATTGCTCAGTCTAACAACCACAAATAATGCCCCTGTCTCCCTCTGAACAACTGGGGACAAGAAGGCAAGGAACAATGAATGAATCTCTCTAATGGAAAATGATGTATTTTGCAATCAACAAGCAGTAGGTGGGTGTTTTCTGTAGCTTCTGCTTGGGGGCCCAGAATTGAAATTTCTGACAACTCACTGAATTCAAGAGGTTGCTCCATGATGCTTAAACCATAAATTGGCCACGTTGCAAATCATGCAGCCTCTGTTCTATCGGAACCTGACAGCCACTGCAACTAGAACCCACTGGCATTTCTTTCTGTAAGTGTAGTGGTGGATGCTGAAACATGTGGGTAAAGGAAAAGCCACTCCAAGAAAGCTGATTGCACCAAACTGAGGCACAATGGGAAAATGAAATGGTCCAGTGGAGAGATAACTCCAGGCTTCTTACTTGGTTTAAGATAAGAATATGAACAACCTGCCTTGTACTTTTTGGTAAAGAAAAGTGGGTGGACGAAGAATGAGTGCTCCTTTTTTTCCTTTTTATTTCCTACAGGCTCTAAAGATGGCAGCATGAGCTAGTTGACTAAATTTCCCCTTCTCCACAGACAGACATCTAACACAAGTACCTGCAAAAGGATCTTGTTCCCATCATGGTCTTCTGTCTGCCATCTTCCTTCACTTATTGGGCTGCAGGGATTGGGCAAAAGAGGGACAAGCTGCCCGATGTCCTTCACTCGGAACTCTAGCACAGAGGAGTCGGTGGGCACTGGTGTTTGGCCACTGGGGAGTCTTTTCAGAGAGAACTGGATGTCCACATCCAGATTTGAGTAAATGGGGAAAATGCAGAAGTCTGACTTCCTCTGACTCGGGTTCCTTTTCAGGATCAGCTCATAGAGCTTCAGGATGTCAGCAAAGTTCTCATGCCGGCAGTAGATGGTGAAACGGATAATTTCTTTCCCATAATGCACCGGGCGGAGGGCCCAGAGTGGGGTTCCTGGGGCCAGGGTGAAGAAATCCTGACTACAGGGTAGGTAGGGGAGGAACCTGCCATGGACTTGCTCTGTATGGTGGTAGTGCCATGGCGGCCTCTGGAAAGTTTCATGGAGTTCCAAAATCTGCTCTTCTCCATATTCCTCCTGTAGAAAGAGAACCACAGCGAGGGCCGGCTGGGAGATCTTGTTCTGCCTCTTCCGTTTCCGAGCCACTCTCCTTTCTGACACACGGAAGAGCTGGAGATCTGGGTGGACCCAAGCCAAAACCTTGTCTATGGCCTCCTGGAGGGCTTTGGACTCACCTGGGTCTGTGATAACATGGACGCTGACAAGGAAGGGATCCTGAGTGTCTTCCACGGAAAGTTCACCTGAAAGAACCAACAGAAACCCAGTGTTAATGGGAAAAATTTTCTCATCTGTGTGGTCAGGAATCTTTTACCATAAAGGCTGGGCAGAAAAAGAAAAAGCAAACACACTAGCCAGGCTGCCCTCCATGAGTTCTGCACCATTGGAGATGTGACTAAATTAAGACTTCCCTGGGGGAAAATAACCCTGCAGCTAAACATTTGTTTGGGAAGAACTCTCATCTGGTGTTTGATCAATCTCGGAATACTGAACTGTGGCAACAGAAAAGGAAGCATCTACAAGCTTGGTCATGTTCGTAGGAGCAATGAGGGGTAAGACACTTTTACAGAATGATAACTGACATGTGTATAGTGCTTGGAGGTTTGCTTCACACACATTTTTTCATTTGATCCTTAGGGCAACTGTAGGAGATAAGTGTTGTTATTAACCCCATTTTACAGGTGAGGAAACTGAGGCCAAGGGAGCTTGTAACGGGGCCAGGGTCACACAGCCAGTAAATGACTATGACAGGATTTGAACCCAGGTCTTCCTGACTCTAAATGCAGCACCCTTTTCATTCCATTAGTATACAATGCATTCTTCATTCATTTGTTCCTGTCCTGTTCTCTCTGCTTCTACTTTCCCTCCCTGAGTTGGTCTTCTCCAAATATTGCCCTCCATGAATATTTTTTCTTTTTTTAGTTATGGTTTTTTTTGGGCCTGGACTTGTGACTTCATTGTCATAGGGAATTCATATTGAAAAAAATCCCCTCTAGATGTGAGAAAATTAGGAAACTAATGCTCTGTTGGTAGAGTTGTGAACTGATTCAACCTTTCTGGAGAGCAATTTGGAACTATGCCCAAAGGGCTATTTGATCCAGCAATACCACTTCTAGGTCTGTACCCCAAAGACATCAGAGAAAAAGGAAAAGGAGCTACATGTACAAAAATATTTATAGCAGTTATTTTATGGTGGAAAAGAATTGGAAATTGAGGGAATGCCCATCAATTAGGGGATGGCCGAACAAGTTGTGATATGTGATTGTGATGGAATATTATTGTGCTATAAGAAGTGACAAGCAGAATGTTTTCAGAAAAATCTAGAAAGACTTACATGAACTGATACAAAGTGAAATGAGCAGAGCTAAGAGAACACTGAACACAGTAACAGCAATATTGTGTGATGATCAGCTGTGAATGACTTAGCTATTCTCAGCAGTACAATGACACAAGACAATTCCAAAGGCCTTATGATAAAAAAAGTGTTTTCCACCTCCAGAGAAAGAACTGATGGAATCTGAATGCAGATTTAAGCATACTTTTTCTTCTTTCTTTTTTTTTCTTTTTTCTTTTTTTGTTCTCTGAACATGACTAATATGGAAATATGTTTTGCATGACTGCACATATATAGCCTCTATCAAATTGCTTGCCTTCTCATGGGGTGGGGGGAGGGAAGGGAGAGAATTTGGAACTCAAAATTTAAAAAAATAAATATTAAAATTGTTTTTATGTGTAATTGGAAAAAATATTTGAAAATTTAAAAAGAAAAAAGAAAATCCTCTTTACCAATCCAAATTAGCAACTTCTTTGCAACTTGTGCTTTTAATGTTTTTGAGGTCATGGACCCCTTTGGCAATCTGGTGTAGCCTAAAGAGATCCTTTCTCAGAATAATGTCTTCAAATAATAAGATAAAACAACTGGGATTATGAAAGAAATCATTTGTATTGAAATAAAGATGTATTTTTCCCCCTACTAAGCTCATGAAATATATCCATGGGCCCCAGGTTAAAAATTCCTATTTTAGAGATTTGAAGGGCACTGAGAAATTAAACAAAACAATTTGCCCAGAATTTTATAGCCAGCTTAAGACAAGGGCAGGACCTGAATCCAGGTCTTCCTGATTCCAAGACAGTGCTTCTATCCCCTGCTCTCTACTGTCTCTCTACATTTATATGACAGCTGAATACCAAAATAAAGTTGTGATCAACTCTAAGAATTCCTCAAGAATTATGACAAGAACTGGCTAGTGTGGGGATTTATTGCAGGGGCCAAAGACAAAAAAGATTTAGAAATGAAATACTTGTCAGATTCAAACTATAAAAATAATAGGTATTTACCATTGCTCAGTTGTTTTCAGTTGCACCTGATTCCTCATGACCCCATTTGGGGTTTTCTTGGCAGAGATACTGGAGTGGTTTGCCATTTGCTTCTCTAGCTCATTTTATGGATGAAGAAACTTGAGACAAACAGGGTCAAATGACTTGTCCAAGGTCACACAGCTAGTAATTGTCTGAGGCCAGATTTGAACTCAGGATGGTGAGTCTTCCTGGGCCGGCACTCTCTCCACTACCACCTAGCTGCCATACTACCTACTAACAATATTTCCAAGGAGCTCAAATCAGTATTTACATAGAGTTGCATTAACTCACACCAAGACATCCTGTAGGATGAGTATGGGTCATATATCTTCCTCATCTTCCCATGGAGGAATTTGAGGCAGAGTGAAGAAATAGAAGGAATTTACTTGATCAGGGTCACATAAGGAGTCAGGGGCAGAGCCAGTTTCCTCCTCTGGGTTCTTTTCAGACAATATCATGTCTATGTTACCTACAACTATGTAAATACTTTCAACATGCCATGTGAAAAATTTGCAGTTTGTTCCATGTTAAAATTTTCTTTACCAAAAGCAGATCTTGGAACAGGTCATTGACTCAGATAAATCCTAGGGAGTTGCCTGAGGGCAGGAGAGGTTGAGGTCAAAAAGCTAGGAAGAGTCAGAGGTTATGAATGCTAAATTCTGGGCCCAACACTATCCACTACACAAGTCTGCTTCTCACAACTAATTTAAAAAAAAAATAGACAAGTATTGAACATATGGTTTGAAAGGTAAGAAAAGCTACCCGATACAAACATATTTAACTCAAATCCGTAACATAAAGCAACAAGATCAAGATGTTGAAAGCAGAAGTACCCAAACAAATAAAAACTTTGATGAAAAAAAGAAAAAAAATAACAAGTATGGATAAATTTAGGATCTGAATATCTGGAACTATTTCTAAAACATATGGCCTAGAGAGAAACTCGTAGTTCTCTAAATCACCACTCTTCTTTTTCTAAGCCTAATCATATTCTAAGATACGTTGAAGAGAGCAAAGTCCTTGGTGCTGAGAAGCCCATGTCATGGAAACAAGGGAGACAGTCACATGTTACTTCTTTTTCTCCCACCAATAAAGTAGTTAGGACCTCTTCTGCCTTTCAAAGGACCTAAATGGAAAAAGTTATAATAATAAACAGGGAAAAATTTTAAAATGTACATTTTCTGGCCAAGATAGATGCCTGAAAGGAGGTAGCTAGCTACCACATACTTTCTCCAGTAATAACTTGCAATTCACACCTGCCTTAAATAATGATCAAGAAATTCAATGAGAAACTATAGTGACTTCTTCCACCTAACAGGCAATAGGAAAGGAGATTGTCAACACCATCACAGGCTAATAAGCCAATAGCTTCCCAGCATGACCAGAGACAAAACACAGATAAAGGTAGCCTTTAAAGGCTTTCTGAGCAGAAGTAGCAAGAGAGGAGCCCTGAATCCTTCAATAGCCCCAGGGAGCTCTGAAAGTCCAATGGCGGTGAGAAAGTTGTAGGGTGGTGATGTCGGCTCCAGGGAGTGGCAATGACCAGTGCTGTGTAGCAGTGCTCAGAGATGGAGATTCTAGGTGTCCATAGTCTCTGGGGTCCCTAGCACTTTTCTGACATGCTGGAGAGGGCCCTGAAGATGCAGTGCTCTGAATCTCAAAGATCCAGGGAGGTCTAAACCCTGGAAGGTAGAGGTCAGAACAAGAACCAGAGGACCCATCACTGTAAAAGTGTAGTAGGGGACAGAGCCTGGCCCCGGAAAAAAGGTCCAGTTTAGGAACTAAAGCTGGAGAGATTATTAAACCAAAGAAAACATCAACTAGTATACAAAATTACTGCAGATCTAGATATCCTCCCCTCCCCAGAGGAGGGAGAGAATTGTTATTATAGAACTGTAAGCAGAGACTCAAAAGAAAAAATTATTTTTCTACAAGGATTATATGAATAGTTCAAAGAACTGAGTAAGGTAAAACAAAACAAAACAACAACAAAAAAAACTCCAAGAAATATAAACTCTGGAGGAAAAAATTAGAAGGATAATTAGAAGAGAAAGTGGTGGACCTTATCTAAGAGACTTCCTAAAAAGATAAACAAATCAATGACTCCATGAGACAACAAGAAATATTAAAACAAAATAAAAAGACTGAAAAAAAGTAGATGAAAATGTAAGATAGCTGATATCCACAAAAACTAACATGGAAAACAGGTCAAATAAATTAGGAATCACTGAACTCCCTATAAACTATGATTTCCCCCCAAAAGCCTGCATATTATATTTCAAAAATTATAAAAGAACATTGTCTATTAGAATCTATCAGAACTAGAAGGTAGAGTGAAGATAGAAATGATCCACCAACAACATCCTTAAAGAAAAAAATCCCAGCAATGTCATGGCTAAAATCCAGAGCTCCCACATCAAAGGAAAAAACACTGTAAGCTTCCAGAAAGAAGCCATTCAAGTACCAAGAAACCACAGTTAAGATCACAGAAGTCCTGGCAGCTTCTACTACAAGTGAGAGGAAATCTTGGAAAACAATATTCCAAAAGTCAAAAGAAATAGGCTTACAATCAAGAATAACTTATTCAGCAATGCTGACTATAATTGTACAGAGAGGGTAATGGATCCTTAATAAAATAGAGAACTTTCAAGTATTCCAGATGGGGGAAAAACCCAGCAGAATTAAAACACAAATACAAGAGCCAAGAGAAATCTAGGAAGGTAAATTTATTTGAGCAATTGAAAGAGACCATATGATGTTGTAGTGTTAATATCCTGATGGGGGAGAAGAAACAAGCGTCTGTTCGGAACCATATCTTCCAAGTGTACTGATGGAGTTAAATAAGAAAAACATCAGATGGGAGGGGAAGGTTGGTTTTATTATG